TTTCTTGATCCCCGGGTGGAAAGTACGTAGTTTCACCATTGTTTTCCATAGTAAAAGCATCACGTTTACCCCTTTCAATGACATGACAATATACCTTTTCTCTCATTAGTCAATTATCTTTTTTAATCCTGTGTGCAAAGTAATAACTTCCGCCACGCATGCTTTTGACAGCTTGCTTCCGACCGCTAAAAGAAACCTCTAAGGATTAAGAAAAATGAAACCGAATAAACACCCTTAAGTACTTTTCAATTTAAACAAAGTATATATCATAATTTTATTTCCAGTAATTATCCCACAATCGTGTTAATAGTCGTAAACCTCCGTAAGTACCTTGTTTACCAAACATTCGTGGACTTAAGTGGACCCCATATTTATTTCACATTCATCGATTGCATCCAACAAAAGCGGCCCGACGCCGTTGTATCGTGAGTGCCGGCCCTGGTTTGTATAAACTGATGGACTGATCCAAATCTATAATAACCCACATTGAAAGATTGTTTAATTATTGCTTGAATCAAGACGGGTAATAAATACAAACTCGAAAATTATAGACCAATAAGCTTGTTATCAGTGTTTACGAGGATTATTACACAAAGGCTCACCAATAAAATAGACCCACCGAGAGGGCAAACGGGTTTCAAACGAGGCTTTTAGCACTATAGACCACCTACATGTAACAATAACATTAATGGAAAAGGTAAATGAGTACAACATAACACTTCGAGTACTACTGATAGACTATGAAAAGGCACTCGACTCAATAGAGATAGGCAGTATTGAATGCTCTAAGCAATGCGAGAATCGATTATTGATATACAAATATATATATATGGAAACGCTACATCGCAACAGCCATACATAGCTAAACTGGCAGAAAAAAGTATCCTCATAAACGGCGAAAGGCTAAGTCACCTTAAATTTGCGGATGCCATCACATTGATAGAACGGGACCAAGATGAACTACAGAGTATGATTGAAGAACTAAACAAGAAATCAGAGCAAATAAGCCTAAAAATCAATATTAACAAAACTAAGTACCTAACCAATCATCAGAATCAATATATTATAACCATAAATAACCGACCAGTTGAAAAAGTTTACTGACAACTACAACCAACAGTACCTAATATAGAAGAATATAGACATCAAAGAATAGCAGCTCGCAGAATGGTGAAACGAAAAAGAGGGAATTCCAGCTATCAATACTAAGGGACATAGAAGAAAATAGACAGAATAACAGAACAAAAGAGTGTTTTAGCGAAATCTCAAAACAGAAAGCAGGATACCAACCCAGAGAAGAAAATTTTCTTACAAAAAATAATGGAGAACTCATAACCAACGAAAAGAAGATTTTATACCTGGAAGAAATACTTCTGTGAACTGCTCAATGATAAAGAAAATGCATATACGCCACCAACAAATATACCAACGGCCGAAATAGAAACACCGCCACCATCGTACGAAGAAACAGTGAAGGCAATAAAGAAATTGAAAAATAACAAAGCTTCAGGCAGCGACAGCGAGAAACACTCCATAAAGCCATACATATACTTATACAAATTACACGGAGGACAGGAGGCGTAATCGTCCCTATACATAAAAAAGAAGACAAAAGAAAATGCACAAACTATTGTGGAATAACTTCTGAATACATGCTATAAGATACTCTCCAATATCCTGCTAGAGAGAATGAAACCATATACCGAAGAGATTGTTGGGACTACCAATGTGGTTTTAGATCAAATAGGTCCACCGTAGACCAGATTTTTACCATTAGACAACTAATGGAGAAATGCTGGGAATTCAACAGAAAACTCCACCAAATGTTGACTGATTTCGAACAGGCATTCGATAGAGTATGTAGATCAAAGTTGTGGCAGGCAATGCAAGAACTTGGATTCCCAGAAAAGCTTATATCGCTGACAAAAGTATGTATGGAGGATACGCGATGTAAGGTAAGAGTGGGACAGAGTCTCTCCGATTCCTTCTGTATCAGTAATGGCCTCAAGCAAGGTGACGGTGCCCTCTCACCTCAACTGTTTAACATAGCATTGGAATATATAATTAGGAATTCCAAAATCGAGAAGCCAACTGGTATCTTTCATCAAGAGGGACCAAACCTACTCCTGGCTCAGACAGTGTCGATGTGATTGGCAATAGCAGGATCAACCTCAAAGAGTCCTTCATAAAGTTCGAAAAGGAAGCTGAAAGATAGGCCTCAAAATAAATGAGAATAAGGCCAAATACCTAAGTAGAAATAATAGGAGCCGAGATAGAGTAGACAAAACTTCTCTATCGGAGACTACAACTTTGAGCGGACAAGACAATTTAAATATCTGGGTACAAGTATTAGTGAAAACAACGACATCACAGAAGAGCTAAATAACAGGATACAAGCTGCAAACAGATGCCTCTTTGCTCTTCAAAACCTAATAAAATCTAGAATACTTACCAGAAAAACTAAGCTGAACATATACAAAACCATTATAAGGCCTGTCGTAATATATGGATGCGAGACCTGGACCCTAACGGTTGCAAGCGAAGACCGACTTAAGGTCTTTGAAAGGAAAGTGCTAAGAAAAATACAGGGCAATATAGAATAAAAACCAACCGAGAACTCAAAGAACTCCACACTGATACCAGCATAATAAACGAAATAAAGGCCAGGAGACTACAGTGGGCAGGACACGTAAAAAGAATGCCAGATGATAGAATGGTGAAACTGGTATGGGAGGAGGTTCCAGGGGGAAAACGTCCATTAGGTCGGCTCCGCCTCAGATAATATTGCAGAAGACCTAAAAGCCATGAATATCGAAGATGACCCCGATCGAATGCTTGATAGAGAAGGATGGAGACGTGTGGTTGAGTCGGCAAAAACCCACCCAGGGTTGTGAAGTCACAGATGATGATGATGAGTTGAAAAAGTAGAATCACTATACAGGGTGCCACACGGTCAGCGTCCATTAGAATAGTTCGGGAAGTAATGTGATTTGCATCTTGCAAATTTGGATATTGGGATCAGATGAAATTACGCGACATTATGCTATTTCCGGTTATACCTGAACTTATCAGAAACTTATTTATTTTAAATGGAATATAATATATGGTATTATACGGTATAATGTTCTTTTTTGTGTTTCTTTCTTCATTTTCAATAACTTTTATTAAGTCTTTCTACCCTACTCTCTCCTTTGCTGAGCAAAAACTATTAACAAGGTGTCGCCTAAAATTGGATATATTTTCAAAGATGAAAGAGTGAAACTCAAAGTCTCAGTTGCAAGATTAGGTATTATTGTGCTCGATAATGACTTAATCGGAAAAAGAAATCTGGATACAGCAAAGTGAAAAAATAACAATTTTGATGATCCCCAGATGAAGATAGCATAATCAATGTATTGGCCGATATTCACGTTCATCCCGAACGATTTAGGAGATTCACAACCATCTGTTCTAAGAATTTTAGCATGCACTCTATAAATTCAACCTTCTTCATCCTCTTCTTCCCTGTGATGCACCACAACGTGAAAAGTTGTGTGAACCTGAACATTGAACGCCCCACGTTCGGCGCCAAATTGCAACACGACAAATTTCGGACAGAACAAAAGAATAAAAATCAACCTTTAATAAAAACTATTTAATTAAGACAACGATTTAAATGACAATTTAATAGAGAGAGATTTAATAGAGAGAAAAGGGTTTCCCTTGAGCGGGTATTTCGGGCGGTCGTGTGCAAAGCCCGAAGGGTGAGTTCGTTTGAGCGCCACTAGCTTTCGCAGCAAAGCTAGAACACTCAGCGATGGAATACTGCCGAAATACCTACTCAATTCCTTTACCGTGATAGTACATAAACTGACTTGAATGATGATACAAAAAAAGGAAAATGGTGAGCTTAATAAAGAACAAGAAAACGTGGTTTGACGACCACAAACTACCGTCTGCTAACCGTTTGATCTGTAACCTACGTTAACTGATTAATCAAATGAAAATTTCCAAAAAAATACAAATCGATAATACACAGCCAATACATACCATGCCATACCATACCAGCAAAACCATACTCGCCCCAAACACCAGCAAGTCTCCGAAGTCTCATCCAGACCGTCCCTGGCTATCCCTCYAGGGAACCAGGAGGCGGCTGATGTCSCCGAACGGATGTTCAAGTAGCGGGCAGATCTACCACACAGCAGAATATGGCGGATTCGGAGGTCAAGGTGACGGTGATCGACTATGTTCGGCAATCTCTGGTACTCGATTGCCCTTCGGTCGGTGACCCTGCTGGGCCCACTCCTCGTCCCTTCCTATCAATAACGGTGGTCCGTGAAGGTGGGGCAACCACCACGTTGCCAGACAAACCCATGATAAAGACTGCTGATGTTTGGGAGAGAGATACAAATATCCAAACATCAAAATTGAAATAATCCCCAAAATATTACTAACCTAATCTGACAAACGTGCTTACTTAATCCAAGTTACAAATGAAAATCGGTTGACAAAAATAGCTTATTACAATTATAACTTATTACTACATACATTTGAACAACGGGTTAGCAGACAGGTGAACTATTGGCTAAATTCTATTTTTAACCGTTACAATATTTTATTACGAACGCAAGAAGATCTGCGTTATAAAACTGCGGAGTTTTACGCAAAATTATATGGACCAACAATCAAAATTAACAAGAGAAGGTTTTTTTAATAGACATAATTATCATTTTTGGTTCACTGAAAGTCCTCATATCACTCGAGAAAGAAATTTTCAAAAACGATTTTGTGTAATGTTTTTACTTTAATTATGTATGATCAAGTTCGGTATCATATGTATGAGAAAGTATTGAATAGACTTTGTATATAATCTGCCTATGGATAAAAGAAATTGGTCGGCATCAACTGGAGGGTGCTCTGCCACATTGTGGAAATGTGATAGTGTGAAACGAGCATTCAGTCATTAGATGTTTGGTCAGAAGTCATAAGAATTGAGTCCTAGATATACGGTCTAAGAGTCATAAGTCATAGTTAAAGTTCGGTTACAAAGGAACTCTATTATTTGTATTAATTTGGAAATAAATTGTTTTTAAAAAAGCAAACTTTTAAAGTAATCAATAAAATTACAAGTCATAATTTTGCTTAAGTTTAAGCAAGTTTTTTTGTTGTTGCTATGTTATATTGCTACACTAATAATTTGCCACATGATCTTTAAATTGTTTCAAAATAATCCTTTGAAGCTACTTTTATTGCATCTTTGGTTGCACCGATTGCGGGAAGGGAAACCGGTCCTCGTTTTAGGTTACGTCAGTGATACGTTTTGCTTTGGTTTTAAAAAATGAGCTTAATTAAACCTGAGGAGCTAATTGAACCAGAGCGAAAATATTCGGTACTGTGTTTTTTCCTGCAGTTTTTTCTCAAAAGACTAAACGCCGTCATGGACATTCTGAAATATTGATAAAATTTCCTCTCGTCGTTCAATAGATGAGGGAAAAGTAATAAAACATCTTATTCATGAGGTCTTGTTTTCTAAGCAAAAATGGACCCAAAGTCTGCGTTTTTCCTCAAATATCTTCGTTTTTCTAGTTGTTGTCTAGACAAAGTGCCACCATGGCCAAGCCACACCCACGAACGGTCTTTTCGGTACGAAAACTGAAACGTGTATGACATGTGTGCTTTCCCCTTTCCGATCCGGCACCGATCCGATTGTTTGGGCATCGACGGAAGGTACTCTGATCGGAGTCGGATCGGATAAATTTTTGGCCATCCGGTGTTTTACACATTGAGAACAATTTTATGATAGGATTTGGTCGAAATTGCAATCAAAATATTTAGACTTAATTGAAATATACAAATGAGAAATTAATTCATCAAAAAAAAAATCGATAAATTTGTATTATTTTCATTGCTTGTTTTGAAAGTCCAACATACATATTTTGAACACTTTCAGCTGGATTGCTGCTGTTTCTTTTCGTCATTATCTTCATAATAATATTTGCTACAAGCGGTAAGAAGCAATACTTGAAAACTCCTCCATTGAGGGACGGGAAGTTTATTGAGACTACTACAAGTTGTGGCAAAGTCGAAGGGTAAGTCAACCGTGATCATTAAGCGACTATTTGCTAATTGTTATTCTTCTGCTATTTACAGTAAAATGGAGGATAGCGCATATGCGTTCCGAGGAATTCCATATGCGCGACCCCCTGTGAACGATTTGAGGTTTAAATATGCAAAGCCTTTGAATCAAATTGGTTACTGCTGGAATGGAACCTTGTTAGCGCATAATGCCACACCCACATGCATGCAGATGCTATCTAACGGAACAGTCATAGGTATTTTTTATTCTTTAACCATTTTCCAGATTATCATCAACAATTTATTTATACTTTCATTATGCTACGCATGAAAACATTCATTATCGTATCATTAATTTTAATAGATATCTTCGAAACTACTGCTTTAGTGAAAACATAGTAATTTTAGTACACAAGCGTTCTTAACATATGGATATAAATATTTTATTTGCCTCTAGACTGCAAGCAAAACATGAATGAATCAAAATAAGCGTGATTAAATGTGGAAATACTTAATGTTTATAGGAACTTCGTGAACCAGATAGAGTTAGAACGTCTAATAAAGTTAATTTTCAATTCGATTTATTTCTTGGCGTATTTTCACTTTTTATTTGCTTTGAGCCTGATTGCTGTTCGAAAATAATGATATTTGCAATATATTGCACTAAGTATCATTCATGCAAATCTTTTCGAATACGAACCAAATATAAGATTATCGTCATTTCAGTGTCCGATTAAATAAAATTACTGTTGCAGGTATCGAAGATTGTCTGACATTAGACATTGTTACCCCTGCAGTAAAATACGACAACCCCTTGCCTGTCATAGTACTAATTGGAGCAGACAGTTTTAACGGGGGATCGCCCGGGAAAATGAGACCTTCGGCTCGATATGCCAGGTCTAGAGATGTTGTTTTTGTTCGCCCGAATTTCAGGCTTGGTGTGTTAGGATTCCTTTCCCATGGTAAGTGGAAATCTAGTTAATAGGGTGTTTTCACTTTTTTTTAATGTTGATAAATATAAAGTAGTTATGGCAAACATTACACTGATATAATTTTTTTGCAAAAAAATCTCCATAATAATTTTAAAGCGAATTTAAGTTCAAATCAGATATTTTCCGCTAAAAACGCCGAATCCGTACCGTCGGTTGCCTATCCCAATTGTGACGTAGCAGGTGATATCAACAAAGTGTCTCGTGTTTATTTTGTTGTTTTCGCAGCTTTGTTTTATTATTTAAGTTACTGTGATTATCATTATTTTATTGATTATTATTATTATTATCTTGCATAATGGAAAATAGTGACATGTATGGATCACAAAATAAGTGGTGTTTTGTGCCAGGATGCAAGAATACCTCAATAA